ATAGTAAAATATAAGTATAGTTTTATCATATTTTGATCCATAACTCTGTCATATATTATTTAAATAGAATTTAAGAATGTTTAACTCATATTATTAATGTTGGTTCATATAAGTAGTAGCTATGTAAAGAAATCAGATTTAACTACTTATTAAATTTCGAGTGTAAAGTTACTTATGTAATATTTTTTTTTGTTAGTTTTTAAATCAGAAGCACCCATTGTATCTTTAATATTATTTGACAAGCAGTTTTAATAAAAAAACCTGATTTGTCGCAACCAGAAGAAAAGTTAGTATAAATTAATGATGACCTGGAAATGTGACATGAAAAATTTCTTAAAATAAACAAAATATTTTGATTGGTTAAGTTAAAACTAAAGAAATCTCATTTTTAAATAAAAAAAAGACTATATCATATGTGAATGCATTATCATTATATACAAGAATTTGAAATTAATAATAAAACAAAAAAAGAAATGGATAGAAAAGTAAATTATAAGTATCATCTTAGCAAAATTTTTTTTAGAATACTGTATACATGAATAAGAAGTAGAAATAAAAGTAAAAATAAATCTTTACGACTTTGGTTTTTGGTAAAAATATCAGGCTATATTTTTGGTTTAAACCATCTTCAACCCACATTTATTTTAAATCTTCTAATGAAGAAAAATAGAGATGTTATTCTTTCCTCTATAAATTGAGCAAATCTTTCTTTTCCCTGTAAAATAGAAATAGGTTGGAGAGAATTCAACATATATTTTAGAGGAAAAAATAGAAAATTACATTGGAGATGATCTTAATGTTTCATATATTATTCAAAATTTTGATAAAGAAAATTGAGTCAAAGAAAAAAGAAAATAAAGAAGAATAATTTTGATTGATTTTATGTCTTTATTTGAAATATTTAGAAATATTACCTTACACATATTAATTCTCTCATGCATATATTTTTTCCAGCATATTAAAATATTATTTCATGAATCAAGTTTTGTATATGTTGTGATCTATTGTATTTTATATTAAAAATATATCGAAGTTATGAACAGAAGAACTCTTAATTTTTAATATAACAGTCAAATATTAAATATATTATTTTACCAATTAAATCACACACATATAAGTTTAAAGTCAGCTGGTTTAAACACTGCGGTTACAGAGAGTTTGTGAAAGAGATTGATTGTAGACTATAAACAGCCATACTTTAATTTTTTTCACCAATATTTGTGTTACATATAGATATAAATATTAACTACGCAAGAGTCAAAGTCGCATGCGAACTTGTCGTGCATACATTTTGTTAACCTTGATTATAGTCTAATTTTAATTTTAGTTGTTAGCTAATTTATATATTTTTAAAATATCTATATGTCTTAAAAGCGGTGAGGTGGTTCGTACGCACCAATGTGCGGGCCAACCATCTACCCTCTCTTAAGAAAAGTAAATATGTTGAACCCATTTTGGTTTAATTATTAATAGATCAAGGAAAAATGTATACTTAAAATATATATATTGGCAAGATTATATTGTGTAGAAGGAAAGAAAACACAGTATAGATAATATTCAAAACTTATTATAAGAATTTAATTATTATTTAATAAAACTTTACATTTGTAATTATATGTTGCTGTAAATGCTAGAAAAAAATAACAAAAATTCAAAAGAAACAAAAGAATTAGAAACGTTTGTGTGATTGTTGTTAAATACTAAAACTGTATATATATAAAACCATAACGTTTACATAATGTATAAGAAAATTAACCAATACTTAAATATTACAACTAATTATGGCTATAGAAAATTATACCGACACATGCGTGCGTGGCAAAAATAAAAATTAAATAAATTATTATATATTTTAATGTTTTTTAGTTTATTTAGTTATCTTATTTACACTTTTTTATCTAAGGAAATATTTTAAAATTTTAATTAAAATTTTTTATCTTCAATTTCTATTAAAATCTACAATATTTTTTTAAAATTTATCATTATTTATTATTATTTAATGTTTATATAATGTTGTAAATAATACATAATTAATTATGTACAAATAAAACATCTTCAATATACTATATTTATTATATATTGAACATATAAAATGTTTTATGGCCTGCACACGCTGCGGACCGATTTAGAAACTATGTAAACAAGAAGCACCTAGTGTAAAATATGTTTGATTTAGAAACTTATGTAAACCTATTGCAACTTTAGATATTTATTAATTTTCGATACTAATATTTTAGAAATCAAGAGTTTTTTTAAACGAATTTCAAATTAATTTTGCTTTAATTTGTTTTTGATTCTTTACATCTTTTGATAGTAATTTATATTTTATTTTAATTTCTACAGTTTTGTTTTTTTTTTATGTTTGATATACTTAGGACTTATCTATTTTTTAATTAAATTCTTTTGTTGTTGATTTTTCAATATAGGTAGCACATATGTAAAATTAATTTTTATAATACAAATGTTTTTTCTTTGTTAATATTGTTGTTGATATTAATTTTTATTTTAATTATAATACTGATTGGACATGCTATAACTGTTCATTTTAAATCTTATGTGAACTTTTCTCAAAAACTTATAGCATCATTATTTTTAGTTTAGTTTTTCTATCTTGATTTTCAAAACAATTAACCTATATATCAAGTTAGCTAGTTCTCATCTGTATGACTTTTTTTTTAGGTTAATTTACCTCTTATGATATTGATTCCTATTTTTCTGAAACATATCTTTTAAAACAATATTGACATGTTATATACATAATATGTTTTTCTGTTAATAAGACTATATTATATTATTTTTTAAGTGTTAACAAAGATATCAACTTAATTTTTTTAGATGGTTTATTTTAATATTAAAATTTTCTGATATTATTTTTGATTTTATAAAACAAAATTAACTCTCTTGTCTATTTTGTATAGTGATTTTTAAAATAGTTAGCTTAAAGCTTCATTTTTGACAGCTATGTTTTCATATGATAATTAAATTTTTTATTTTTATCTTACTTGAAAATTTTTACTTTGATTTTTTAAATAGTTAGTATAGATATCAAGTTATTTTTTTTATTTATCGATTTCCATATTTGGGTTTTTTGTTAGTTTATGTTTTTTAACATTGAGTTTCTATTTTATTTTGACATAAAAATTTATCTTTTTTCTTTTTTTGCTCTTAATTTTTTCATTAGAATAAAATAAGTTTACATTTTTGTGTATTTTAATTAATTTAAATTATTAATGATACTTAACATTTTTTGGTTAAATAATTATGCTGATTTGGATCAATCAAATCGAATTTACATTTTTTGTTGGACATAAATTATTAATTTTTTATATTTAACTTTTTAAAATTTTAATCATATTTAACATTTTTTGTTTAATAAAAATCGTCGATATATACCACTTATATAGACCTAATACACGCCACGAAGGAAGTTGCAGTGATCATGCAAAGCTGTTTCTTCCTTCTCCATTAGGTCTTCCATGAGCTTTAGCTTATATCTTTATTACGATTTCATTCAGACCTATTTTTTCTTTTGCAGTCTAATATTTGATAATATTAGTTTTAAAACTTATATGATTGGTGGCGTGTAGTCTTCACGTTATTTCTCACTAGTTTAATCTTTTGTGTGCAATCTGCAGGCTTTGATTTGAATATTTTATCTCCATATACCAATTTGAGTTTGATTTATAACTTTGTTATATTTTATTATTTAAATAAAATTTTTGAATGTGTTATTCATGTGTTATTAATGTTGGTTCAGGTATAAATAGTGGTTATGTATAAAAATGAGATTTTACTAATTGTTAAATTTCGAATGTAAAGTTATTTACCTAGTGTTTTTTATTTGTTAGTTTTCAAATCAGAAACATCCAGTGTATTAATCATTATATATTTAAAAATATGTTTGATTTAGAAACTCCTGCAAACCTATTACAACTCTTATATAGTTATCCAATGTTTATACCAATACTTTAAAAATCAAAAAATTTTGAAATTAATTTCATTTGGATTCTTTTTTGATACTTTACATCTTTTGATAATAATTTTATATTTTATTTTAATTTATATAATTTTTTTGTATGTTTGATATGTTTAGGACATTTTTTATTAACCATTTGTTGTTGCTTCTCAAAATATGTAGCATAGATATAAAGTTAATTTCTTTTACACGAATGCTTTTTCTTTGTAAATTTGTTTTTATATTAATTTTTAAATTAATTTCTATGTTTTAGATTTCAAGTTAGTTTGTTTTTACGATATTAGATTTTTTATAGTTAAACTCTTTTGACATAGAATTTCAATTTAAATGTGAAGGATACTTTAGTTTGGTTTTTCTAACATAATTATCTTCTCTATTTATTACCAAACTTTTTATTTTAATTTTTCCATCTATAAAACAAAATTAATGATTAATATTTTTTTCAATTAATTTAGGAGTAAGAAATTTTCATAATCTATATTATAAGTTTTAGCTTTTACGTTATTGGTTTTTTATTAGTTTAACTCTATTGACATTAAATTTCCATTTAATTTTGAAAGATACAATATTTTGTTTTTTTTACATTATTTTTTTCTTTTTGTTACTTAAGATTTTTTATTTTGATTTTCCATCTATAAAAATAAATTTTGATATTTACAAAATTAGAAATTAATTATTTAATATTTTAATTATATTTAATATTTTGTGTTTAATGAAAAACGCTGATGTAGACCAATCAAATTGAGTTTATTTATCCTATGTGGACGCTCGTCTAAGGCATCAACTTTTATATAGTATAGATGTTGCTGACGATTCAAGGCTATCCAATATTTTAGGAAATGATGAGTATAAATTTTGACTAATTAATAGTCTACGATTTTTGGGAGATTTTGTTTTTAAAATAAGATTATGCTTACCATGTATATAAAATTTTGATATTACTATTTCTTATTATTTACTAAAATAGCACTCTTCTCTAATCTATAAAAGTGTTATACAATATCCGGATTGATATAAATTGAGGTAATTCTACAAAGTTATAGAAAAAATAAAACACAAATTTCTATTGTGATGGAGAAAATTTCATTGAAATCTGCTTTCATCGTGCTTTTAGCTTTTACTGGTAAGTTCAATGTTTTATATTTATTTTATATAATATGTAAAACTCAAATTTCTAGCTCAAAACATACAACATGTATCTAAATATGTATCCATTTAAAATTACAATTATGATCTACTAAACAATTAAATTATGTTACTTATATTATTATTCTGTATTCTAGTGATAATATCGATAACAGTTCAGATTATTGAGGCGAAACATATGTTACATGAAGAAATTTCTCCATTTCATCTGAAAGTTTCACTAGCGCCGGTTAAAAAATTAGGGTTTGGCTTTTGTAGGCCACCATGCAAAGAATTATGTTTTGCAACAAGTTGTTATTGTGTATGTCCTCCTGTTCCAAAACTATAAATTATGATCTAAAAAAAAATTATGGTTCCTAATAAAAGAAAAATATATTGTTTGGCAAGTGATTTACTTAATCTCATATGAGAATTGTGTGAATCAAACAAAAAAAAGTATCTTCTTTAAATTTAGCTTCATAGATAGAAAAGAGAGATCAATACACTAAACACACCAATGTCTCTACATAGCTTGAAATGTTTTAATTTTTCAGAAGCTGACATATCATCAAAATTAAAAACCAATCAGAACATTTTAATTAATATACATCATATACTAAATTTTATTATTTTCAACCCAAATCCATTAAAAACTCAAACATATTTTTTGTTAACTTTTATTTTTATTTTTTGTTAAATCCATTACAATGCCCAACGAATAAGAAAAGGCTGAGACATCCTCTACTTCCGATCAGCAACCAAAATTTCTTCACTTTTTTACACTGTCGTCTCCAATAATCTCTTCACTTTTCTTACATCGTCATCTCTGATACTTGATTAAAATTTTGCTTGGGATTTTGTGTTTGATTTTTCTTAGAATATGATGTGTATTAATTATTTTTTGTTTAAGTAAAAGCCCAAAATACAGCCTTAAAAATGGCACCATTGAAGAGATTTCTTCACACTCAGGGCCGACCATGATCTTGCCCCAAAAATTTTTAAATTATTAATATTAAGAATGAGTTCCTAAATTTTATTTTAGTTGCAATAAAGAGCCTCCATTTTTTTAAAAAATTAACATTTATAGTTGTTTTTTAAAAATATATCTAGTAATTCTCAATTTTATCTTTATTTTTTGCTCGAGCTCCCGAATTTTCAGGGCCGGACACGTGATGATCATGTGATCTCCTCACACTTCACACTCCCAACTGCAAAGAGAAACAAAATATCTTCGCTTGCTTTTGTCATATGGTGTGGAGAACTTTCAATTTGATGATCATTATTCCTTATTCATGAATTCTTAGCTTTTCTCCTTCACTCTCATCTCTCAAGCTTTTCTGATTATCCTCTTGGAAATATTTAGTCAATGCAGCTTTCCTCGGAATTAAATCAAAGGCTTTTCAGTCTTTCCATCTTCACATGTGAATGGAGATCGTTTCGAGTACTTCGATTTCTCTTTCATGTATTAGCGTTGGTGAAGACCTTCCAGCAGACTATGAGCAGTGGCTTTCGGTCCCTGATTCAGAGACCCGGAGAAGAGCCGGCGTTTTGCTCCACCCGACATCGTTTCACGGTCCTCACGGCATTGATGATCTCAGAGAAGAAGCCTTCCGGTTCATAGTGAGCATGTCTTGTTTATCAGCAAAATAAAATTACTTCTTGTACCTGAGTTTAAAATCTGCCACCCAAACTCATTCAGATCTAATCTAAAAAATCAAAACCGACAACTCTCCAATTTCTGAAATCGACGAACTCTTCCTCCCCCTCTTTCATTCATCTCTCTTCGTGAAATTAGAGATTAATCGATTGATTTTTGTTTTTAATGAAAGTGAACAAGAGGAAAGTTGATCGAGATGCAGAGAAGAGGGATTCAGATTCGGCTGACATTGTTGAAGAGGTTTTGGAAGAAGTAAAAAAGGAGGGATATGTGGTTCTGATTAGTGAGGAAGGCAGATCTAATTCGTTTTGGTTAAGAAGAATTTCATGATATTTTTGCTCATGATGTCAATTATGGGAATTATGGTTGGGGTTTGATTTAGAATTTGTGTGTTCATACATGTAATACTGGTAGAACTAGATAGAACTAGTTATCCACAGTTATACGTTCTTATATGTAATACTGGTAGAACTAGATAAAACTAGTCGAGATTTTGTATGTAATACTGGCATTGGTATAAACTGGATGTTTGTTGTTCTAGTTATCTACAGTTACAAGTTATCCTTACTCAGTAATACCAGTTGCACCAAGTTTTACTCAGTAAAATCATAATTTTCAGTAATACCAGTTTAACTAGTTATACTATATTTATTTAGTAATTTTCTGTTCTTTTTCTTTTCTTTTCTATATATTATATTAATTTTTTATTCTTTTTCCTTTCTATCAAAATTAAATTGAAGGGTAAAATTGTCTTTACTTAGTTGGATATAAAAGATTAATATGAGATATAGTAGATTTGATTTAGAGGAAAAAGGGTATTTTAAGTTATAAAACGCAAACCAAGCAGTGGAGGAGGCTACATGGGAATTCCTCCTTAAAATACAACAGAAGTGGCCTTCTTTTCAACCTTGAGGTCAAGGTCTTCGGGAGAGGAAAGATTTAATCTAGAAATTGGACTTTACATTATTAAATAGGCCTCACTTATATTTATGTGTTTTGCTAATAAGAAATAAGTGTAAGAAGTGAAAATAATTTCTTTTATGAAAAAAGTTGCATCATCGCCACTAGTCTTGGGTGTTCAGGTTTTTCCGGGTTCGGGTAGGAAAGGTTATGACCCATTTAAGACCCGGTTAAAAATCGGTTCGGTTCGGGTCTTCATCGGGTCGGGTCGGGTATTGAAAAATTGTTAAGAACCGAATAAGATCCGTTTGTTTTGCATTGAACCCGAATTCAACGTTTTTAGACCCGAACAACCCGATAGACACGAAATAAAAATTGAAAAATGAGATTTTTGGGCCGGCCAAGTGAAATTTTATTCAAAAGCCCATTAGGCAAGTTCAAGTTTTCGGATGCTCATGATTATAATAATTTTTTTTAGAAAGCCCAGCCCAAATCGAATGTAGAAAGATAAGATAATGAGAATAGAACATGTATGCACCAAAGTTTCACGACTTCAAGCACCACCGCGAAACTTTGGCAAGACAGAAAATCTGGTGAATAACTAGATTCACTTAAGTGCAGTCGCTGACTCAAAAATTCTCGACCTCTGATCTCAAAAACTTAATTCATGCTCTAAAAGAAGGAGAATCAGAAAAGAAGAAGAAGGAGATTCAGAGACAGAGAAGAAGGAAAAAAGAATTGGAGACATAGAAGAAGAATGAGGAGAAAGAGAAGGAGAAAAAAAATTAGGATGAGGAAAATCGAAAAAAGTGAATTGAAGAAGAAAAATTGACGAAGGAGAGTTGAAGAATGAGAAAGGAGGCGAAGAACGGAAGAAGGAGCCGCTGATTTAAGAAAATTAGTTTTTTTTAATTAGATAAATGAAAATAAAAGTAAAAAATGTTTTCTGGTTTGGTTTGGGTTATTCGGGTAACCGATCGGGTTTCAGGTTTTACCCAAACCGAACCGAAAACCGAACTAAAATTGACCAAGAACCAATCGGGTTATTAGATAAAATTGAAACCGAACCGAACCTATTTTTTTGGGTCGGTTCAGATCGGGTCCGTCGGATCCGGGTTATATGCCTAGATTAATCGCCGCCGTCTCTCTTTTTCTTCATTGGTGATTTACCTTTGCGCCAAAAATGTGACCTAATAAACCCACGATGCGCTATACTGAAGGCGTCAGCCAAAATACAACAACAGATTTTTTTTCTCTATCAAATTATCGAAGAAAATCTAAAAGACAAAGATAAAAAAATAAGAGAGAAAGAGCCCTCAACTCATCATCGCTGTCGCTTTACAGGTCGGTATTATCCTCTTCTCTCTTTACTCAACTCAGTGATGGAAAAAATGTCATATTCGATTTGGAGAGCTTAATTTGTAGCCTGTTTGAATGGAAATTGAAGCGCAGCTCACAAATTGGGATCTAGAAACCTAGATTTTGAAGCAAAACTAGGTTTGTGTATGACTTAGATTTGCGTCACCACCATCGTTGCCGTCTTGAATTCAATTTGATTTGGAAATCAGTGTCATCGTGGTGAGAGAAATATTTGTTGTTGTTTCTTTAGTGTTTTAGAAAGGAAGAGCAAAATCGGAAATCAGCTAATAAAATATGGTAAACTAGGAAAATTTTCAATATTATTATTATTATTTTAGGCCAATAAACATGATTATATATAATATATGAGAATTATTTTTTATAATACAAATTGAGGGATGGCCCAAGTTAATTGAATAATTAAATATTCGGAGCCAATAATTGATAATTAGTTTGATACATATTATATATAAAAATTATGACTATTTTGCTCTTATAGTTATTTGATATGGTTTGGATAGATAACAATTCGATTACCATGCTAACTAATATGATATTGTGATAACTGTGTTAACCATGCTGACTAATATGATGCTCGATTAGTACATTGTACAAATATTAAGTTAACATGATAACTATCGTGTTATTGTTGCTATTTTCCATGAAGTTAACTTTGTTCGATTAGCATATTGTACAAATATCGAGTTAACATGATAATTATCGAGTTAACGTTACTATTATTTCATAAAAATAAGAGTTAACTTTGTTAACTGTATAAGTTATGTAAAATTATCATGTTAACAATGTTACTATATCAAAAACTTATCATACTAACATTGTGAGTATGCTAACTATCGTATTAACATTGATATCATCATCTTTCACCACATCACCACCACCACCACTTATATCCACCACCACCACCGACACTGTCACCACCATCGTCATCACCAACACCACCACCACCACCACCACCACCGGCATCACCATCACTTCCACCACCACCGGCCCGCCATCACCAACACCACAACCATCACCACTACCGACCATCACCACTATCGACAACACCAAACCACCACCACCACCACCACCAACACTACCTCTATCATTTACCATCACCACCTCTATCATTGACCATCACCATCACCACCAACGACTCCATCATCACCACTGACCACCATTACCATCGATAAAACTACCACTACCACCGATAACCATCACCAAAATTATCGATCGAAGCTAAAGATGAAATAGAAGAAAGTTCAATTCATTTGTGTTGATTAAAAAGAAAGAGAAAAGGTAATAAAGATATTTTTATTTAACTAGGAAGAGAGAGAAATGAACTTTTATTTCTACTTAATTATCAGATTATCTGAAGCCAATTACTATAATTTCTCTTGTTTTTATATATAAATTAAATATATATAGTTTTGCAAATAATGAAAATTAAATAAATATTATTTTAATATAGTACAAAGGTATTTTTTGTAGCAATAATCACATCTATGGATTCAGGTTTGTGGTATAGGGAATATTTTTGTTATATTGTTAAATTTTTTAATGTTGGACAAACAATTTTTTTTAGATTTTATACACCAAAATCTATTGGGCCGGTAAAAATTGATATAATAGAACGGTATATTTTTTTGAGAAAAAAAAAACTTTATTGTTGTGTGTAAACTGAAAAAGGAAATTAAAACTAATTAATAATTGATTAGTTCAATTAATTCAATGTATATGCGTTAACAAAAAAGGAAATTGGGTTGTAAAATAAAAAAGGAAATTGAGATAAATAAATAAATTTATAAATTAAAAAAGGAAATTAGGAACTAAATCCGTTACGCGTTAGTTCCATCGATACTTTGCCGCTTACTTGTATCCTTAATCAATTTACCAATTCTCAGGTTTCACTTCTCTTAACGTGTTCTCTCAGATTTCACTTCTCTTAGGGTATCCCCAATTCCACCACTTAGGGTTCGAAATCATTGTGAAAAATCCCCCTTTTCTGAAACCCGTTCTCGAATCGAACATCTAGGTCGTACGCTCGTTTGATCTGTGAGTATGAATCACGAGGCGGCAAGGCAACAAGGTTTCGCAGTGCCGAGAAGACGCTACCTTCCTTATGAAAACAGGATGAACAGAGGTCCATCAAAGTGGTCAAGGAACCTGGTTTGGACGGCATCAGATGGCAACAGGGCAAGTAAGAATCGTGGGTCGGTTTCATGTATATGCAAGTTTTGGATAGCCGGAAACTGCAAGAGGCGCGATCAATGCCGGTTTCTCCACTCTTGGTGTTCCTTCCCTGGAATGGCCATGGTTACTTCTCTCGAAGGACACGAGGCGGATCTAAAGGGCATCGCCCTTCCCACGGGCTCAGATAAACTCTTCTCAGCCAGTGGCGAGGGTTCGTTGCGCATATGGGACTGCCACACCGGCCAGTGCGTTCGTACACTCAACCTCCAGGCAGAGGCAGGGTCTCTAATCAGCGAAGACTCATGGGTATTCCTCGGCTTGCCCAATGCTGTGAAGGCCTTTAACGTTCAGACCAGTAGAGATTTGCATCTTGACGGGGTCGTGGTTGGTCAGGTCCAAGCTATGACTGTTGGATATGGAATGCTCTTTGCTGGGACAACTTCTGGTAGCATCTCTGTCTGGAGAGTTACTGACACCGAGTCTGATCCGTTTACATACCTCACATCCCTCGAGGGACATCACAGTGGCCCAGTCACGTGTTTTATTGTCAGAGAACATCGACTATACTCTGGCTCTGTGGATAAAACGATAAAGGTGTGGGATCCCAACACACTGGAGTGTATAATGACCCTGAGGCAGCACACGGACACTGTCACGTCTCTCTTATGCTGGGACCAGTATCTGTTTTCGTCTTCGTTGGATGGAACCATCAAATTCTGGGCTTGTTCTGAGGATGGCAGCTTGGAAGTTACTTATACAAGCAGACAAGGAGAAAAAGTGCATGCTCTTGGTGGGTTGACCGACGCAGAGGCCAAACCGATGCTGTTCTGCTCTTACCAAAGCGGAACGGTCAGCATCGTCGATATACCATCTTTTCAAGAAAGAGGAAAGATGTTCTCGACGCACATGATCGGCACACTCACATTTGCTCATGGCGGACTCTTCTTCAGTGGATACAAGAGTGGGAAGCTGCGTGTCTGGAGCTTAGCTGCCACTAAAGAATCGAGCGAGAACTGAATGGATGCATCAGAAAATTGAATGGATACATCAGAGAGAAGATGTCGAGGATTAAAAGTCTTCGCAAAACCATCATTGAAGCCTAATTTTTACTTTGTTTGGGTACATGTTCTTTGTTAGTTTTTTATTGGTTAGTACAATTTTGTAACAGGTTTTGGTCTATCACCATGAGAGTATATTTGACTATGTGTATACAAGATAATGATAATAGCTTAACTTCCTGACTCAATCGTTGCTTCTTCTTCTCTTTTTTGTTTCTTCTTTGCCCTCAATTTACTGTTTTTACAGTCCTAATTTCTCTCATTGCAGAACTGAAGAAGTTGCACATGAGATTAATTGAGTTAGAAAAGATAGACAAACATCCTTTTACAAGTTTACAACAACACAGTTTCACAGGATCCGTTTCCAAATTCAAAAACAAAAAGTACCCTTCTGTTAATTGCCTTTAGTTACACTGACTACTCTCAGGGTTTTATTGATTCAGTGATTCAGGAGCAGGTGTGGAAGCTTAAGCAGGGAACAAGTTTTCCGAGCTGATGTAAGAGAAGGGTCAATTTAACTCATAACAATACACACACAAGGGGACACTCGCTATGAAGGTGGAATGGAATTGTGGTTCTCATTCAGAGGATAACAAGAAGAATGTAAACTTTAAATTTTTCTAAGTTGTTCAGATTGATTCAGAGGAGGGAAGCTCTCGTTTACAACACTCCTGATGATCATGTCACAAAGGATATAAGAGATGGGATTGCTAAATTAGGTGGCTTGAGGTTCAACGTGTTGGACTCTGCTGGTATTGAGACTGAGGTTTCTTCTGGTACTATTCTTGGTAGAACCACATCAATGACCGCTAATGTGCTTTCAACGACTCAGTTTGCGATTCTTATCATCGATGTCAGGTGCGGTTTTCATCCTCCCATGCTGCAAGAAACTAAATCTTGATGCTAGTTTTTTTTTTCATTAAGAAACTCATTGTTTTGTTTTGTTTTTTTTCGTTCTATGTGTTGCATATCGTGTTACTATATGTTTTGTATAAGCGAATCTCCAGATCATAAAATCTCAACGAAGTATGACACATTCAGAAGTAGTTATAGCTAGACGCGCTGTAGAAGAAGGACGTGGTCTACTCGTAATCGGCAATAAAATGGATTGTCTAAGAGGGAAACAGAACTCAGAGATGTACAAGAAAATCAAAGAAGCAGTTACCATTGAAGTTCAGACATTATTCGGTTACTCCTCAGGTAATTTGATCTTTTGTTAGTTCTTGCTTCTTCTTTTGTCATTCTTGAGGGTTCTTGAGCGATAAGAAACCTAACATTTTTTGGTCGCAGATGACAGGAATCCCGGTTGTGTTCATCTCTGCATTAGAGGGGAGAGGACGTTTACAAGTAATGAACGAAGTCATTGGCACATACAAGAGATGGTGTTCAAGGCTTTCCACTGGTCGACTCAACCGCTGGTTAATCAAGATTTGTACTATCAGTATTGAAATTTAAACTATATGATATTCAAACTAAAGATGTGATGTGACATCAGTCTACTTGCCTAATCATTTGCTCTGTGTGTTTGAGTTAGGTGATGAGCCGACATTCATGGAAAGCCTCAACTTCGCAGCTAAGGATCAAGTTTTTCACTCAGGTGAAAGCTCGACCGCCGACTTCTGTGGCGTTTGTTACACACTTAAAAGCCTATGTCTCCCAATTGAAATCAATCAATATGATTAACCATATCCTATAGAAGTTGGAAAATTATATATTACACACTTAAAAGCCTGTGTCTCCGAATAATAGCCAAGTCTACCACTGTTGGTTTGTAAGAACAACAACAATAAAAAAAAAAACAAGAAAGAAGAACAAATTATCTTACAAAATTTATCAAGAAACCACTAAAAGAAAAAATAAAAAAAATATACATTATTTTTCGGATATAAAAGAAACAAATTATTTTAAATATCAGAGATATTATCAGGGGAAATTAGGCTAAGGAACCGAAAATCTTCTACTAAACACGAGTAAAATAAAAAATAAAATAGCAATCTCAGATCATCTGCAGTGCAGATTTTCATGGGAGTTTTTATGAGAGGTTTTCAATATATATAAAAATAATAATTAAAAAGTAGAGAAAGAGTGAATAAAAATTCTCATATAAGAACCTTTGTAGAAATGATCGAGCTTTCATGTCAATTGTCAAATATATATTGATTGAAATTTTATCTTTTAAATTTAAATTTAATTATAAAATTTAATCATATTAAAATAATAATTTTTTTTTTTTTAAGAATCTCAAAAAAAAAATTCATAAATGCAGATGGTCTCAGGTATGCATGGTACGTACATATACGACATATTAGCATTAAACACGTGAATTGAAATGACGTTATTATACTGATCCATATATATAACAACATGGTACATATACTACATACATCCGTCGACATATACAACGTTCAACTATTTAGTTATAAAATACAAAGTCGGAAGTTTTAGAAATTTCCAAATACTCGTATATATATATATATATATATATATATATATATATATATATATATATATTCATTTCTTATCAAGTTGCCGAAGTAGTCTTTCGAAGCCAACTCGAAAGGTATCCTAGGAATCATGTTACCATTTCCACTTGTCTATTCGTCTCTCTCAATCCACTGAATCTCTTCCTTGGAATCATCTTTGTCTCCTAGTATTCATAAGTTGCATCCTTCTACATAAGTTGGTCCCATGTACTTATCATGAGAGACTAATAATATTCTTCCCATCCCCATTGCCGATAAGCCATCTTGGTTTCGTGACTAATAAGCCATCTTGGATTTCTCTTTGTCATGTAGACTCACTCTTTGGAAAACAAATGAAAGGGAAGCAAGAACAGCTCGGTGAACTCCAATGTTTCCAGAAGCTTCCTTGAGCAAAGGGTGCACCGTGCATGCGTTCCCAAGTGTTTACAAAATTATTAAAATAAGATTTATATTATTATAAAAGATACATAATAATAATCTTCCAAAACATTTTTTTAAATTGTTATTATTAATATATTTATATAAAACATAATTAAAGCATGACGATATTAGTATGTTACAATTTACAGGAAGTCCGAACCCAAAGTCAATGATCGAGTACAATATTACAAATTAATTAAGTTGGCTTGTGCAACTTTCACATTTTCTTCATAACAAAACAAAATCACCTTTAACAAAAAAAAAAAAAAAATCTTGAATGATCAGCTTTGACTTGTATAGATGCATATGTGCATGTGCTTGTATTTATCTAATCTTCATGAACCATATCATATAAATTTACTTCCGTATAATTCGGCTATTATAGATGCGTGTGCTTGTATCTACCTGTTGTTGAGTTGCATGTCTTATATCATATAAATTTATTTCCGTATTATATGGATCTTAGTTATATAGTTATATGTTTTGACCAAAAAACAAAAAATTCTCGAGAAATAGTGACAGAATCTTCAAAAAAAAATTCACATAGTTAAAAGAAGTATACGGGTTATAATTCGACATGAAACATGTAAACAAAATCGCCCCTAACAAGCGCATTGAGCCTTATCTACATTGCTTTCGAGTCATGTTAGATGTAAACACAAGGCTTTCAACAACCGCATGTAGCCGTTTAGCTCCAGGACCCGGTTTGATCTTCGAGGGATCACCAACCCTCGAGCATTCTGATTTTTCTTCACACCAACCACCAGGTGTAAACTTCCCATTGCCTCTACCGAGCATCTCTTTATCGATCTTGTCCAAAACAGGATCGTTGTGTCTGAACTTGCGGGCAAACATAGCTCCACTTGCAATCATCTTCTCTGTGTCATTGATGCTGAGTGTTCGAGGATGCTGTAGGGGAGGACGGTCCCATGAGATGTAACGCAGGTCGTGGTTCACCACCGTGGTCGAGTATTCTGGTGCGTTGCAGATCACAGTGTGGAAATATCCTTCTGATGAAGAGACGAAATTTGTGTAATACATTAAAAGTGTCCGTGGAAGATTGTCCCATCCCCAAATGCAATATTCTACGAACGGCCGAGATAACACCATCCAAAAGGAACCTAAAGTTTTGATAAATTGCAACACAAAAGTGTTTATAAAGATAATTATTATTAGAGACTCTCATTTAAGTTACAAGATACATTAGATTATAATGAGATGAAAGCAACTTCAATTAATATGGAAATTATACATTTACTATGCTAATGCTAAATTTTCTGATCTCACATATATCTTGACAAATATCAATAATCTTCTAGATCTTTCTTGATCTTCATGATTTCCACATATCCTCAATATGGTCAATCTCATCGATCTTCCAATATATACAAGTTTCATTGAAATACTAAATTTAGTCAACCATTTTTCATAATCATTACTCACTAATTACTGAATTAATGAATTACCGGTGAAAAGTTTGAATGCAGTTGGCACGGTTCTGCGAGGTGTAACCAAGAAGACATCTGATTTATGTTTCGAGTAAAGCCCCGGGTCTATGATCACAGGCTTTGCTCGTTGATCTCTGCAAAAAGAAGAAATTCGCGGTAATCTCATTTGGATTAAACATAATTCAAACGAATAGTATAGATCTACTGAGAAAATAATTAATAATAAGAACCATTACTCTTTCCAGCCTAGTTTGCTAGTGTGGTCGATAAAGTTAAGGTTCCGGTCCAGCCCCGAGAATGTATGAATAAGATCTGCGAGCGAAAAGACGGGCTTTGAGAGATTATTCGAAAAACCATATACAAAAAAAGAGACACTATAAATTGATATATATATATATATATACACATATATACCATCTTGAGTCACTAGAGGATAATCCGAGGCGCTGAGATTAATGAACCAATCCCAATCTTTACTATGCTTCAAGAGAATGGCGCAACCGTGGAGCGTATTCGCCACCATTGTAGGTCCTCGGTAGGTAACAAGATCAGCCTTTGTGATCATGAAAACATTACCAACGTCACTATAAACAGGGTCATCCTTCACACGCTTTGCCAGCTCAAGCCTCTCTTCAGCAGGAGAGGCAAGGTCGAGATGAACAACGTATTGATTTCTGGGATGGTATATTGCTCTTAACACTCTCCATAGGCTCTCCAAGTCACCACTTGACCCTGAAACTAGATAACCAAAGCGAGGACTAGACTGTACCGGAGTCGATAGATTGGAGGAGAAGATGACCAGTGAGTTGATGGAGCGGACGGAGGAGAGGAGACCCACGTTGAAGAATGCAGCTGCAAGGAATATGAACATGAGGAAACCCATTGCTAGAGGGAAAATCCATCTCTTTTCTGAGTTTGACGACGCCATTGAAGAGCCTTCTCAAAGGATCTGAAAAACGAATGGTTGTGTAAAGAATAGGTCAACGAAATAAGACAAAGCTTTGATCTTGTAGGGTCATCATGAGCGAAGCAAGATCTTCAACTAAAACGAGTTTGTTGTGGTAAAATAACATGGTTTTCTCTTAGAAAACACCATTAAATCTTAAAACACATAAATAATTGTAAATTTTTATATTGATTTCTGTTGGAGATAAATAATTGGGAATTATTATATTTATATTAGGACGTCGTGGTCTAGTCGTTATATTTAACAAAATGAATTGTCTAAGAGAAAAAACCACGTGCTTAATCATTTGCTGCGTGTGTTTGAGTTAGGTAATGATCCGATGTTTATTAGTAATAGATTTAACTCATTGCCTCATACTATTTATATTGTCTACAAATCTTCCATATTTCTGACAATTTCCAATAACACTTTTGGAAAGATTCGGCTTCGCAGCTAAGGATCAAGTTTTTCACTCAGATGAAAGCTCCACCGCTGACTTTTGTGGCGTTTGTGGCCGGTAAAACGTAGTTGCTGGAAAGCATCATAAAGTTCCTGACTAAATTATTAAAGATGACTGTGATTTAGGAGGGACTCCTATTCCAATCATACAGTGGTCTGTTCTTTGGAATTCCCCTGATAGAAGCGGCGGTGGAAGCAGAAGCCGGTCTGGTGGTCGAGTGGTGCAAATAACCACCTCAGCCGAACGGACCGCTTCGCTTTAAGAATTCATTACAATTCCTACATTAACTAGTTTTGTTCGTTTGGTGTTATGTATCCTGTTTCGTACTATCCTATTTACACACTCTCTCTCTTTCAAAAATAAATAAATTTTGTTATATATATATATATATTAAAAAATATATATATATATTCAATTATGAATCTATACATGTTTTTTGTTAAACAATGTTTTGTGATCATAAACCAATTTTGACTCACAAAAGTTAATTATTTTAATATTTATTAAAATCTGAAATTTGTCACCATTAATAAAAAAAAAGGAGGATTACTAGAATACTCTTTTAAATAAGTCTATTTGCTAGAATAGCTGAAATTTGTTTTAATTACTGAACTAACCTAGCATACCGATTATGCCCTTAGAGCTTTTGATAACAAAAACGGTATTTACGATTGTGCCATTACTTTTCTTTTGCCACGTCAGCGAGTTGTTTGACGGTAGATTTGTTTCGTCTGGTCAACGGTTGGTAGATTTGTTTCGTGTGGTAGACTTGTTGTTGACGCTGAAGTGGTTATGACGCAGTAAATTTTTTGGAAACGGTAGAATTGTTTCTTGAACGGTAGATTTGTTGGGGAACTTGGTAGACTTAAAAATATATTGTGGAAGATTTTTTTTTCCGACCCTACCAGAGGGTGATTGGTTGACTTTTTACGTTCATTGACTTTGTATGGCGGTAGATTTATTTTTGGGAATGGTAGATTTATTTTCATTTGGTAGACTTAGTATTTGTGGTGGTAGATTTTTGTTACTCCTATTTTGTATTTACTTGGTGGTAGAGTTATTTTGTTGATGGTAGAGTTTCTAGTGCCAACGAATCCTGGTAGAGTTATTTTGCTGTTGTGGTAGATTTACTTTATTTTCGTAGTGGTAGATTTATATTTTCCATAATTACCAGAATAACATCATTGGTAGATTTATCGTTTTAGGTGGTGGTAGACTTATTATGTGCTGGTAGATAGTTGATTTTTTCACAGATCGTGATTACGTAGTGGTAGACTTTTCATGGGGTACTGAACGGTGAAGAACGTTGAAATCAAATGTTGATCAGTGGGATGTTGATTTTGGACGTGATAAGAATGCGAATATTGCAGTGAAGAGATTCAACCTCTATTGCGATTGTTGAAGACTCGTTCATTACATTTCAAAATTTTATAGAAAGTACATAGAGAAGAAGTTCTTAAAGAAAGAAAGTACTTAGAGATGTTCAACGAACAAAGTGCATAGAGATAGATAAAGTGATCCATAGTAGAAAATAGACGATATTAAAACTGAAATCTAAGCAGTTGGTACTGAAGAAAAAGGTAGCACTTGTGGCAACACATTAATGGGTGTTTGAACCTGCAGCTTGGAAATTCTTCTACTTTGAAAACATTGGGCAACAGATCTGCAGTAGCACTCTGCATTCCCATCTTGGTTCGAGAAACCTCTTCACCTAGTTCGATCATGTAGTGCATGCGTGATCTCCAACCTACAACTCTTTCCAACATCTCCATTGCAGTTGGATAGTGGCCATATGCGGTTGCGATAACAGCGACCATCAATGTTGCTTGGTCTATCCCGGCTTTGGAAGCCTTGTTGAAAAATCTGGGCGAATTTTCAACGTCGTTGTCTATAGCTATTGTTCTCATCCCGTGCAGGTATAATGCTTGAGGATTGTCTGATGAGAGAGCCAAATTGAAGAAGTAAGGATATCGTTGGACCAAAGTTGTATCAGCAATGAACTCTGATAGGTTTAGTGCTTGCATTACAGATGGTTCCTTTAATGCAGTGTTGAGTTGTTTTGACGCACATGCTGCACGACATGCGTCCTTAGCAGAAACTCGTCCCACTCTCTGAAGAATCGGCCCGAGTAGGTCTCTTATTTGGTGGAGTCCATCATTTGTTTCCATTTTACGCTGAAACATAGAGAGTATAGAGAAGCGTATAAAGTCAGAACTGCAGATAAAATAAATCTTCCATCAACTAACCAAGTATATCTACCACAACAGATTAAAAATGGCCGTGCACAAATTATAAATCTACCACAACGGCTTATTAACAGACCTAGAGTTAACGTAAATCTACCAGCAAGAGGCCTTGTATAAGTACCACACAACCTCAGACGAAGTGATTTGACGATAATCTCTAACTATAACCTACAACAGATGTGAACTCGCCACAGAAGTTGAGATATTTGGCGGATGAAAAGGAAGAGAAAGCGGAATACTTACCGACGAGAGTTGGCAGTCTCGGATTCGAGTAGAGTCGACTTGCCGACGTCGGGTAGAGTGAGTTAGGAGGCGGAGTGCCCGGACAGAGACTGATGACGGCGGTGGAAGTAGAAGAGTTAGTTGGGAGAAGAGGACTAGTAAAGTAGAGAATTTTAATAACCAAAAAAAAAAAATAATAATAATTAACAAAAATTTTGGGCCACACATCACATTATCTTCCTCACCCACTCTATGTTATCGCCGCCTCCATCTTTTCTCCATCTGGTTCGACCATTGAAACTAAAGTGTCGATCTTCTTTTTGTTCTCCCTCTATTAAATTCTTATTTTGATTTCTGTTTAGCTGGTTTATGAATGTCTTGGTCATTTTGAATCAATGGAACAAGTTATTTTGGTTTGTGGAAAATGGAGTTTTCACAATAATCGATGGAAGTTTGACATAGATAAGGGAAAGGGATGCCGAATATTGCAGGTACATGAAGAAACCTCTTTCGCTGGATTTCTGGGAATGGTGTTTGAAGATTTTGGTTTGGATCTACGAAATCAAGATATGCAATTAAGCTACATGTTGTCCAAGGAGGTACTCCAAAGATTACCACATGATACACCTCCTGTATTTGTGGCAAATAATAGACAGTTGAACGGGTTTTTCGAGCAATTGAAAGAAGATCGGATTCGCATGTGTATTGAGAAATTCCCGATGAATTTGGTTCAGATGGAGAGAATCCTCATGCTGCTAGGAAGGAAGGAGATGTTACTGTTGAAGAGGAAGGAGATGAAGAAGAAGGCAATGAAGAAGGAGGAGATAAAGAAGAACAACAACATGAAGAAGCAAAACGAGATGAAGAAGACGAGGAAGACGAAGACTTGAGTACCAGATATGATGGATGCGAAGATCCGGATGGTGCTACTTCTGATGACGAAGAATATGGAACTTCTATAAAATCAAGGGATGGAGAAAGTGTTGATGTAGAAGATGATGGTGAAACTCTACCACCAAAGGTAAATCCTGCAACAATTCCAGATTTTCTTAAGATGGAGATCAGTTCAATGGATTTGGCCGTTGGCCAAAGTTACCAGACAAAAGATGATTTGATTATGCGCCTACAAATTATGAGCGTCATTAAAAAATTTGACTACGATGTTGCATATTCAACACCAATATTGTTGGTGGTAAAGTGTTGGGTTCAAGGATGTGCATGGCGAGTTCGTGCTTCAACTGTAGGTGATGGTACAATCTTCTACATTAAGACTTACATTAGCAAGCACACATGTTCTATAACTGTCCGATCACTTCGTACCCGCCATGCCACTTACCAGATTCTAGGACGTCTCTATAAAGACTTTGTCGGTGGTGTTGAACCTTCTGTATTGCCAAACCATGTCTTCGATGGGCTGACAAAACGATTTGGAATTAAGGTAAGGGTATGGATATGTTCTGATTTATGGATTCCGGTAGATTTATGTACACTTTGAGGTGGTAGATTTAATTACGTAGATTTTTGTAACCCGGTGATGTGATGGTAGATTTATGGTGGTAGATTTATTTAAGGTGGTAGACTTATTTACGTAGATTTACGTGTGGTGGTAGATTTATGTTGGGTTTCTCTTTCTACAGGTCGATTACTGGAAAGCACATCGGGCTCTACAATATGCACGACAGTTAGTTTTTGGAACTTCGGAAAGTGGGTATGAAGAACTGCCATCTTACTTATACATGATTAGGCGAGCTAATCCGGGGACACTTATAAAGCTTGATGTCGACGATGAAGATCGGTTCAAGTTTATGTTCGTCGCGTTTGCTGCAAGCATTTTCGGGTTCCCATACATGAGGAAAGTTGTTGTGGTAGATGGCACGTTCTTGCACGGAAAAAACAAAGGTACACTACTACTCGCAACAACCCAAGATGGAAATTTTAATATATTTCCAATAGCGTTTGGTGTTGTAGATATTGGGAATGATGAGTCTTGGGAATGGTTCTTTAGACAACTTCACCGTGTCATTCCAGATGATGAAGGTCTAGCTATTATTTCAGATAGGCATAGAGCTATAGGAAAGGCCATAGGAAATGTGTACCCCCCTAGCAAACCGTGGTATTTGCACATATCACTTGTATAAGAACATTTTGTTGAGATTCAGAGGGGGAGAAACATTCGGC